TAATTCTTCTTGTTTTCCCAGCTTTTCCTTCTTCAAAAACCTAATTTACTTATCCTTAATCATATGCTCCCTCCCCTTATTGTTTACCTAAAGAGTACAACTTTTATTTGCTGCAATCTCTGATTTATGCACTTCAAATTCAGATAACCAAATCTGCATTTTTTGACTTAGATTTTTAAAAGAGTAATTTTCCGCATACGAATTGATACTGCATGTTAATATTGCTCTGAAAAGTGGAACGCAATGCACTTTTAAATGAAGAAATTGTGTTCTTAATTGGAAATTTTTTAAAACAAAGAACATATGAAAATGAAATTGAAACAGAGTATATATTTGAAGTGGTTGTAGTTGATTTTCAAGATAGCAGAGAAATTTTAGAAGCTGATTTCGAAATAGAATATCATTGTGAAGCTTATTTTAATGTGCGTAGTCATACTTCTGGGGCTGGTTTTGAAACAATAAGGACTCACTTTGATCTATTTTAAATAAAATTTGTTCAGAATGTGTAGTCTGTGTAGTAAATATGGGTTAGCACTTTGTTTTTAAGGTAATTAGAGAACTCAAGCTATAAGTGTATTTCCTTTCTAAAAAATAACAATAACATATCCTTTTCCATATGTGTTCAATGACTGATTGGCCTTCAAAAGTTTTACAAATTGTAGTACATTGAGGCGAGTTTATATTGAATTCAGCAAACACTCAATCTCAAGACTTAGAAAAAGACATGTTAAAAAATTATAGCCAAATGTGTATCTTACCAGAGCCCGAGGTATTGGTACTTAATAGAAACTTGCAACAAGAACCAATAGTGTTAAAACGACTTATATATGCAACGATTAGGTGCAACGACTTATAATGAGAAATTTTAGAAGCTGATTTTGAAATAGATATTCATTGTGAAGCTTATTTTAAGATGAGTAGTCATACTTTAGGGGCTGCTTTTCAAACAATAAGTACTCACTTTGATCTCCTTTAAATAAAATAGGTTCACTTTGATACTGAATGTTAATATTCATTTGAAAAGTGGAACGCAATGCACTTTTAAATGAAGAAATTATGTTCTTAATTGGAAATTTTTTAAAACAAAGAATATATGAATATGAAATTGAAACAGAGTATATATTTGAAGTTGTTGTAGTTGATTTTCAAGATAGCAGAGAAATTTTAGAAGCTGATTTCGAAATAGAATATGATTGTGAAGCTTATTTTAATGTGCGTAGTCATACTTCTGGGGCTGCTTTTGAAACAATAAGGACTTACTTTGATCTATTTTAAATAAAATTTGTTCAGACTGTGTAGTCTGTGTAGTAAATATGGGTTAGCACTTTGTTTTTAAGGTAATTACAGAACTCAAGCTATAAGTGTGTATTTCCTTTCTAAAAAATAACAATAACATATCCTTTTTCATATATGTTCAATGACTGCTTGGCCTTCAAAAGTTTTACAAATTGCAGTACATTGAGGCGAGTTTATATTGAATTCAGCAAACACTCAATCTCAAGACTTTGAAAAAGACATTAAAAAATTATAGCGAAATGTGTCTCTTACCAGAGCACGAGGTATTGGTACTTAATAGAAACCTACAACAAGAACCAAAAAGTGTTAAAACGACTTATATAGACAACGATTACATGCAACGACTTATAATAAGAAATTTTAGAAGCTGATTTTGAAATAGATATTCATTGTGAAGCTTATTTTAAGGTGAGTAGTCATACTTTAGGGGCTGCTTTTGAAACAATAAGTACTCACTTTGATCTCTGTTAAATAAAATTGGTTCAGACTGTGTAGTCTGTGTAATGAATATGGGTGTAGTAAATATGGGTGAGCACTATGTTTTTAAGGTAATTAGAGAAGTCAAGGTATCAGTGTGTATTTCCTTTCTAAAAAAATAACAAAAAAATATCCTTTTTCATATGTGTTCAATGACTGATTGGCCTTCAAAAGTTTTTAAAAATGCAGTACATTGAGGCGAGTTTATATTGAATTCAGCAAACACTCAATCTCAAGACTTAGAAAAAGACATGTTTAAAAATTATAGTGAAATGTGTGTCTTACCAGAGCCAGAGGTATTGGTACTTAATAGAAACCTGCAACATGAACCAAAAATGTTAAAACGAGCAGTACATTGAGGCGAGTTCATATTGAACTCAGCAAACACTCAATCTCAAGACTTAATAGGAACCTGTAACATGAACCAAAAGTGTTAAAACGAGTTATATAGACAACGATTACGTGCAACGACTTATAATATAATGTGAATAGTCATACTTTTGGGGCTGTTTTTGAAACAATAAGGACTGGCTTTGATCTCTTTTAAATAAAATTGGTTCAGACTGTGTAGGCTGTGTAGTCAATATGGGTGAGCACTTTGTTTTTAAGGTAATTAGAGAAGTCAAGCTCGATGTGTGTTTTTCCTTTCTAAAAAATAACAATAACATATCCTTTTTCATATGTGTTCAATGACTGATTGGCCTATTGTAAGTCAAAAGTTTTACAAATTGCAGTACATTGAGGCGAGTTTATATTGAATTCAGCAAACACTCAATCTCAAGACTTAGAAAAAGATATGTTAATGTATCCTTACCCCTTTTGTAAAATAGTATACATGTTTTAAACAGCTACATGGGCACCTTCTATGGATCAATGTTTTCTTCCTTATTAAATGCAACCCTTTCTTAAGCATCTTTGGGCAAACACACACGTACTGTGTGCCCAGCTATTGCAATTCATTTTATACTCTAAAGGCATAAATTTGAGATTCTGTGCAATCTTGAGAGATGATCAATTCAAATAGATTAAAACACCATTGTTCCAAGAGAAAATAATCAAAACTGAACATAATGCATCCATTTCAAAAATTATCATCTAAAAGCATAAATTTCTACTCTGAACACTTTAGTCATATACTGCTCAGTTATTTCTGTAATAGTGCCGCTGGGTTGGTGTTGTTGTTGTTGTAATAGTGCTGCTGCTAATGAGTAGTACATAAAATTGATGCGCACCTTCAGATTTGAGAAATGCCCCAGTCTGTTTTTCCTTGAGCATCAACATCAGTTTCCATTTATCTATTATGTAAGAGGTGATGTATAATACAATTCTGTATATATTAGTTGACAAAGATTTTATTTTGTTACTCCAGGTATTTATATTCTATTGCCCATTGCGGTATGTTGCTAATTGTTCAAGATAATCTATTGTTGCACTTGGTTCTATACATTCATACGCTTATTTTCAATTCCTTTGATAATTTTAGATTTTGAAAGTGTGACACTCACAAATGCCCAACTACATTTTGAATGCTATATGTAGTTGTAATTCAGCTTTACACATAGTGAAGCTCCTTTTACCAATTTGTTGTTGGAATTCATGTACTTTCACTTGCTTTGAATTTAACTCCAACTTTATGGGTTGGTTTTAAACTATATACCTTTTTGTGAGAAGGTGGCAAATTGATTTTTTTACTGCATAATTTTTCACTCTGTGTGTTTATGTTCAGTGTTATTTGTACACTTTAGTTTGATTTCAAAAAGTCTAAGGGATGAGAATTGAATTCATACTATTTTTAGCTAATCTTGAAAAAAAATGTTTCAGTTTGAATAATGCATGAACTAAAACAGAATTACAGAAACCTAATAGATTGAGAATACAAGTGTCAACGGAAAGGAACTTGTACCTTGCTTAAAATAAATTATACGAACAAGGATCAAAAAAATTAACTCCAAATGACTTTCTTTGTTCTTGTTTTTCTGTTTTCATGTTTTGTTTAAATGTGGTCCTAAAGTTATTGTATTACTTTTCACTTTAATGTTTCAATAAGCAAGTCTTTTGGACAATAATAAGTAATAAAAACCATTATATCATTTCCTAAAGTATCCCTTTAGGAGTTTTTTGCTCAAGCCTTTGACTAAAAGCTTTCAGTTGTATGGTTTGAAAAAAAAATTATGTAGTACAACTCTGTGTCCTCTTTTATGTGTGTTTTGAACTGAATACAACTTTACACCCATTTTATTTTATTTTTTTTTGTCCAGAGCAAAAACCCATTTTGTTAAACAAATTTTTATATAGTTTCAAATCCCTTTTCACTACAATGAAGTACCTAAAACTTGGGCACCCACACACAAAGTGTGTGCTAAGCTAGTACTCCGTATAAGCGAGACCTAAATTTTTATTACTCCTCAAGTCCGCATAAAATAAAACAGGTAAAAAGAAGAAAAAAAAACGACATCAATAACGGCTGAAAATTTATACTGCCGCGATTCTTCCCGGGAGTTTGATGGAGATTAGAAGTCTGATGCATTCCTTATTCGACCCAGCCTCTGAAGATCTCCTACTGCATTTGGCAATCGGCTGTTTCGTTTCCTTCAATCCACCATTCTCTTGATCGCACAAGCTTATCCACGCAAAGCAACTCCTCCGAAATGTTCAAATTCTGGTAGTTTTTGTTGACCGAGCCTTTCGTTCCGATTCAAAATCCTATTTTGTTTTGGAGTTCAGTTTATTTGTTACCGCTATTACGATGTTCTGATTTTTAGGATTCTGCTCTTCGGATTTTGTTTTTGGATTATGAAGTTTTAAGCTTCAATCCCGTACAAATTCTGAAATTCGTACTGTTATTCACGATTTTGTGGGATCTATCTGAATTTCCTTGCATTTATCCAACAAAAGTTAGAAATTAGGGCTTCTTTTTTGTTTTTTGTTTTTTAAATTTTTTCAATAGAGAGAGGTATAGCTTGTGTTGATGTTGGTGTTCTTTTTCATTTAACTGATTTGGAATTTAGATTTTTCTTATGGCGTTAATGAATTGCAGTGTTTGTGTAATGAATGAAAAATGTTCATATCTACAGGGGTTCTCGTGGGCAAGAAGCTCCGCCACATCGGCTGGTAACTCCTACAGACACTCAGTGTACACCATCTGTTGTCAATTCTCCTAGTTCTGCTGCGAGTTTTGGATCATCAGGTCTTTCCGAGAGACAGAACACCTCATCACAGGTACCTCCTGTAGAGGCTGCTGGAATCATAGATGAACTAAAAGATAAAAGGTAGCTGCTCGTGTAGTTGTGTATGCATTCTCATTGTTGTATTGAGTTGATTGGTTTTAGTTAATATGTTGTCTTCTACTACGAGATGATCTCCATCTTTCTTATGTCTTGATTCTTGAGAATATAGTTAGACTTGCATGTTAGGTGTTGTTGATCTTCCCCATTTTCTGTACTCTACCATGTATTTGATTTAACTTTTGTTCAGTGATGATGAGTTGCGTAAGCTTCTCTCCGACGAAGATGCTTATAACACCTTTCTAGATTCACTTGAGCCTGTCAAGACTCAAAATAAAGTGAGTTGCATATTTTGGGTTTTAAGAACTCTGTAAGTTTATCCATTTGTCTGTATATCAATCATGTACCTGAATTTATATTTTAAATGGACGACTCTTGTTTTTCTTTCCAATAGGTAAGGGATGAGCTCCGTAATGAAACTCTGCAGCTTGCTAGTAAGTGTGTTTTGTGTTTCTATATTTCTTCATAACAATTCCCCACATATATTTTTAAAACTCTATTATTCTGCAGGGGAAAATTTAGAAAAAGAACCAAGGATTACCGAGCTCAGAGATCAGGTATGACGTTTTACTACTACTACTACCAGTCTACTGCTACTACTACTGCTATGACTACTACTAATAATAATGATTATAACAGTAATAGTAGCAGTAGTAGTATCTTAATCTGTTGTCATTAATACCAAGTTTTGACGGGCTTCCAAAAACAGTCCCAAGGCAAATCTCGAAATTGCTAAGAATAATTCAAATCTTTAAGTTGGTCTTCCATGAATGATCCACACTCTAGCGCAGCTAGGGATATGTTAACTTTTTAAAATTTATGATCCATCACTTTGGACGGGAACGGCAATCCCAAATATGGATTGAGGGTTAAATATAAATTCTAATCTTGAATTGGGCTAGAGTGCTAGACCAAAATAATTTTGGCCAACTTTTTTTTTTAATTTTAAATGATGCATATCGAAGCTCCATTTGAAAAAAAATGCTCGGAATTATTTGTATACAAAACCTATCTTGGACTACAACCAACTTTTGGTTGAATTGGTTCATTGACAGCTTGGTCCACTTGAAGATTAGAATTATTTATGTCCAAACTTTAGTCTAGACATTTTTGGGATTTTGGTTAAGGTTCGAAGTGGTCGTGTCAGATCATACTTTTCCAAAAGTTACTGGAAGACTAAGGCATTTCACTGTGGTTCATCCTTGAAAGATCGGTACAAACTTTTGATTATTCTTAGCAACATTAAAACTCGGGATTGGTCTCTAAAAGGCCGCCCAAACTAGAGTTTATTGTCATCAAATTTTCCAGAATAGCAATACTAATATTATTAATAATATAGCATTCAAGTTTTAGCATAAAACTACTTAATTGTAAAAAAAGAAATTTCTTGTGGGCTACAGTGCATGATAATCCGAACAACTGAATTAGCAGCTGCTCGAAAAACACTGCATGAACTGGAGAGGAGGAAGGAGGAGCTCCTGAAGAGATACTCTCCTGCATCCCTTCTCCATGGACTTGAAGGTAATGTATGGATCCCAGATCTCTTATTCAGACTTATGCTACTGTACCACTCTCCTGCATCCCTTCTTTCACTCTTGTCTTTTACTCCGTAATTAAGTGAACAACTTCTTTCCTTTTACCTGAAAAAAATAAGACAAGAACAGAAGATTCCCTCTATTTTTTATATTCATCAAAATTTGAACTGCCAATATGTGTAAAAGCATCATATTCAGCACCTTAATCCCAATACTACGTTGGGGTCGATTACCTTTCCTTGTTGCAACTTTATAAACAAGTAATGAGAGGAAGTTCCAAAGCCATCATTATCACGGCGTATACCACTTGCATGTAAAATATAATGACCCCAAGATATAAAGGGGAAGGGGAGGGGGAGGTGCAAGCCTTGAAGAATGTATACTAGAGATGGTAGAGCTTCATATTTCAAGATATTTTTCATAGTTTATGCTGTGAGCTCCTGGGTCTGCGCCTTGATCACAACACAACCATGCATAAGTGAAAATAGTTGCTATACTATACTCATTTATTTCCCATACCAAAATTGATTCAGTAGAATAAACATGCACGTCATGGAATGTGTTTGGTGCCAACATGGGTAAATCAATTGTTAACTGCTCATTTCGTTTGTATTTAGCTGTCCACATTTTCTTTTTGGGGTCCGAAATTAGTTGTCATGAAACTGTATTGGGAAAATAAAATTACATAAACTGCCCAACATATGCCGGAGAGGAAAAGTACCATTCGTTCTCTCACGAGCAAGTGAATATCAAATTTTGTCTTTTATCGCAATCCTGAAATTTTAGTCTGTATTTATTTCAGAAAGCGGACATTTAAGCTTAGACGGAGAGTAGTTTTCAGATCAATGGATCAAAATGTTGGTAGTAAAATGTATGAATATATACCCTTTTGAGGGTGTATGATGTATTGCATGTCCTTGTTAATCTAAACCTATGTAGAAACACAGAATGGTTTTAGTCTTCTTTTTTATATTCATGCAGAGGCAACTAATAAAACAGATAGGGGATCAGAAGACCTACACAAGCAGCTTCTTGATCGAGAAATAGACCTTGCAACATTTGTGCAGAAGTACAAGAAACTGCGCCACGCCTACCACACGTATGCCCTAACTCGCCTTTCAGCCAAGACTTCCATAGCAGGTTAATTTTTTTGTAAAAGGTACTCGTATATAACTAGCGTCTTTCTTCTGCTATCATACTGAACTGCCCATGGGTGATTTGATGACATAAAAAATGAGGATTTCACATATCTAATCTACTTAGTCCCCACCATATTATTACTCTGATTATGAAGGGTATATTAGTCCCTTAAGAATCAAACCGGTCTAGATTACATAAGTGAAGACGAAATTCGGTCTAATTATGTTTGATTGCCGAAAGTAATCTTCACATTTAGAACCAAATATGTACGAGTACGAAATCTTGTCCAAGTTTTTTTTTGCCATGAGTCTATGTTATATGGTCCAAGACCGTACCGAATAATAGTGTATCGCGTGGAGAAGATTATTGAAGTTGAATTTTAGAACAACCAGAGAGGTTATATCCTCCATCCTTAACCTCTTACAGAAGAACCAAGCGCTAAAGATGTTTCGCATTGGCTTCAAAGCTAACATCATCAGTATATACTGTATAATTTTATTCTTATTACTGTTCATATTCTACATTCGTCCCAAATTAGTCTTCCTACTCTATTATTTATTGGTCACAATTTTCTTCCTTATTACTTACTTTCGTTAATCATTTTTAAAAGTAACAGGCTTGTCATGTCTTGTTTATATGGAGTACTTAGTAGTACATTCGATCTTCTTCTTTAATACATAAGATTTATTTTTTAAACACCATTATTTAAACAAATTCAATTGAAAATAAATTTAGTTAAGCCTTGTTATTGAAAAGAAGACCAAAATCTTGGGATGGAGTAATTATTTGTGCTTATATATTTGTTCATTTTGAATCTTTTTTTTTTCTGAATCATAATATTCAAGCTTTCTAAAGTTCTCATATGGTATTTCTCCAGTTTCCATATGGTAATAGAGAAGTTGAAAAACATTAGCCCGTCAGTACACATTGCCACACCCGCTTTGGTTATCACCAACGAAAGCTTGGTTGTCCAACTTCACACCAACGAGTCATTCTTCCGTGGTCCTAAGGTCTACATGTAAAATATGGATCTTTTCACATTTTTATAGACTAATAAGTAATTTTTTTCTTTTTTTTTAGCAAAAGGTCAAATTTTTTTAATGATATTAATACATTAAAATCAATAAAAAATACATGGACCTTAGGAACACACAAGAATTTTCCCACACTAGAACCTATTTTCCTATCCTAACTCATGTCGACTAATTTTGCATTCTTGCACGGTGACAGTCTTCAATCCGCTAAGTTTTGTTTCGGCTTAGTCTTAAGTGGTTGGTTTTTGTTTTGCTTTGTGGGTACTTAAGTCGAAACCAGTTGTATGTTCGACGTCAGTATGTGTTGTTAGTCGCGCCTCAGTGCGGTAACACTTTGTCCATGTGGGACCATGGGACACTTGTTAGCCGTTCTTGTGTTACCGCGTAGGAGTCATTCGTCATCACTTTTGGTTGTTCCTTTGCTCAGTCACTCATCTTCATCCGTTGTCCAACAAATTTAGTCCAAACTCTTCACCATGCTATTATTTTTCATCCTAGTATTATTTTACCAAGTACGGGATAAAGGAATGGTATAAGTATTTTTTTATATATGGATTTTCAATTTACATCTAATTCAGCCTAAACCTCCAGGATCCCACCTTAAAAACCTTAGAATTAATATTTGTTGGTGGGCGTTGCACATTTGATAAAAGTAAGAAATAATAATGAGGTAAGACTTGAGTTCGATTTCTGATAATTATGCTGTAAGACTAGGGCTTCTGCAACTCCAAGTACATACTTCACTTTTTATCACCAGTCTACAATCAAAGTCTAATTTACCTTTTAGAGCATCTCTAACCATGCTTACTATATTGGCTTGCTCATTTTATATTTTAGCAAGTGAATAGTAATATAACAAGCAACTTTTTGTTTCATTTTCCAACCATAAGTTGCTAATCCATTTTACAACTCTTAGCTTGCTATATTTTGGAAAATTTGTTATATTTAGCAAGTCAACCTCATTCTTTAGCAAGCTTGCTATAATATAACACAATCATTGGAGATGAAAAAAAATGATTGGCTTGCTATATCATAGCTTTTAGCAAGCCAAATTGGAATGATTGGAGATGCTCTTAATATTTGTCTAAAAACCTTGGGGATGAAGCTCATAATATTTAAGGGAGATGCTAGGGGTACACCTTTGGTGTACCCCATTTGTACATCACCCCCTTCATAACCACTCATTTATTTTTGATTTTTATTTACTTATTTTTTTTTAATTTTCTTGCCTATTTGAGTAGTAATGGAGGGGGTGGGGGACAAATGAGGTATACCTTTAGTGTGCTCCTAGCATTTTCTAATATTTAAATAGAAGTGGCCATGTGGGCCATAAGTTGTTAAAGACCAGCTGTAGAATTACGTAAGCATGAAGGGATGAAGACAGATATTTATATCAATTTGGTCTTGAAGTAACGTTTTCTAAATGACCAATGCTAGGGGTTCTACACGAGGTGCTCCAATACTCATCCAACTTGTTATCAACACTTTATTTTTCTTATTTATAAAAAAAATCTTATGTTAGAGAGATACATACTGTGCGATATATACCGTATAACCGGTTGTACAGTGTTTTTCGTACATCGACGAGTGTTCATTTATGAGCAAGTGAATGTTTATTTTCGAGCAAGTGAATGCACATTCTCGAGTAACTGATTTAATTTGGAAACATTTTATTCGGACATGAAAAAATGAATACACAACTTGTTACTTTTATGGACAACGATCTTTTCACCCGAGTCAAAATTAACCTCAAATGACCTTAACATTTTAAAAAAACTTACGATACTCCGTTAATAATATTGATAGTTCATATATCCTTTAAACCTCCTCCCTAAATCCGTTGCCTCCCTACACCCTATTCCAGCACCCATTGTCCTCTCTAGATCGCCGATTTGGCAGGGGCCAAATCGGTGATCTATGAGGGGACAGTAGGTGCTGAGGCAGGTGCAAGAGAGCAGGAGAGTTTATGGTGGAATGGAATCATCAATTTTACCGACGAAATACTGTATAAGTATTGGATCATAATATGACCCTGATATACAATCAAAAAATCATTGTGTACTCTTATGTAAAAAAAGTTACTTTATATTTAAATGTTCTAAACATTAAATGCTGGTGTGATTATACAGAGTATTATTTTACTCTGTAACAAATACGAAGTAATTAAATTATTATTTTTGAATAACATAATAATTTAATTAAATAGGTAAAGAAAAAATTAAGAATGTGGATCGTATAAATGAAATTAAGTATGAGGTATAAACTAATAAATTATCCTATACAAAGTTCGGGTTTGATATCTTTTGATTTCAGAATATTTCAATTTGGGGTTCGATATCTCTTCAATTGCCTCCCGCAAACTACCCCCTTCCGACACACGCTATTGTGGGCCATTCATTTTTGTCTACTTATATTAGATCTCTTTATATGCTTTCATAATAAAGAAAAATTATCTATCTAGAACTAAAACATGATTGATATATCAAACTTTTAAAATACCAAATTGAAATTTATAACACCAAAGAATAATGGGGCATGCTAGTGGTATACCAAGTCATTTTGAAAAAACTTATGAAAACACCAAATAATGATTTTTAAGTCTTTTAATACCAAAATAAGAGTTTACACTTATTATTACAATGCCACACTACGTTACAATTATCACACTATCACTGTTAGTCTGTCACACGGTCATCTCTTTCCGCCCACCACCAGAGTGCCACCACGGATTGCCAACTGTTGACAGATCGCACTGTTATATTATACGTTGTCAAAACTTTTCTATCGCACTGCCAACATGTAATCTTACATCACACTCCATATTTTGATGTTTTCATACATTTTTACTCTTATCCAAAAAGATTATTTAACCATTATTTTATTTTGACTTTTGGGAGAAAAGCTGTAGAAGTTTGACCAAAGCAAAAAGAAGAGAATTAAAGTGAATAGGTTTGAGAAATATCAAAATACATATCACGTAGAAGATAGTTGAAACATATTAGATTAGATTTATGAAAAAATAACAATCTTATACTCCGTATGAGTTATATCAACTTAGGCCAAATGAATTTGTTTAAACAAATAAAATATGTGAGTATTATACTCCATATTAGAGAGTACTAAAACTATGTGTAATGGGGCATGAGGAGATGCATGACCATCCTTCATCACGTCCCTCTTCAATAACACATGAGGCGTGAAAGGAGGTTGCCCCAATAAAAGTGACCACTGATGACTTTTCTTATATAATTATTTTTTCTTTTTATATTTCAACTAATTAAAATTTACGAAATAACACATGCTCACACCTTATTACTTTCTTTCATACCCACAATAATACATATATTTTCATTACTCCACATTATATCTTTTTTACAACCATGTCCATAAGACATAACCTAACAACTAAAAGTCACATTTTATTTATCTCTATGAATTTCACTTGTGAAAAAGTTGGAGCCGAGTTCGAGCCACACCTCTATGTTCCGTAGCAGAGCGCTTCAGAGCTAAGGAATAATATCTTTCTTCAGAGTGTCGTCGTCTGTAAAGCGTAAAGCGGCCCCTATACTGGATAAGAAAGAAGTTGAGCTGGAACCCTCTGTCTCCTTCCCTAACAATATCTCCCCCTTCTCCTCTTCCCCCACATGAAAAATCCCTTCTCCTCTTCTATAAATCTCCATCTCCATCTCCATCTCCTCCCCAGCCAAACCAAATCTCTCACAAATCACCGATTCAAAATCATCATCTCTGTCAAATTAATTCTCCTCCTCGAAATCGAAATTGAAGATCTGAGAAATGGCGGGGCAGAGCAAGGAAGATCGGATGAGTCTGTTGCCGGACGAGATACTGATCAACATACTCTCCCGGATTCCGATCTCCGACGCGTGCCGCACCGGGAGGCTGTCGAGGCGGTGGAGGAACCTGTGGACTCAGGTCTGCAACGTCTGCTTCTTCGACGACTACGATGACATCCTGGTGCATAACATTGCGGCGGAGGACGGATTCTTCTCCTTCGTCGACCGCCTTCTCAGCCGCTGCGCCTCTTCCAGGATCCGCCGGTTCTGGATTCAGTTCAAAAGCCGGCAGGAGGCGGATTTCTCGGCGGTCAATCGGTGGATTCAGTTCGCCGTCGATCGGAACGCCGATGACATCCTCCTGATGCAACAGGTATGCCCGGAGTACATTGTTAGGCCCTCGTTTTTTCTACTGTAGATTTTCAACGCTTTGGATTTATTTTTTAGATATATGATGGGTGATCCAAAACTTTACGGGTTTAATTTTCTTATTCTTAAATCAGTTTGACTTCCTTTTTTCAGGACAGACTTCTCTTTTCAAGCATTTTTTTAGAGTAATTTTTATTTATCTCATGTCACTCTACTTTTTGGACAGTGAGGTTGAATTACATCAAATGCTTCATAAACTAAAATGTGACAAAAATGTTACTCACTCTGTCCTATTTTCTATTAAAAATTATTTTGATCATTATTAATTTTTACTTTATTTATCACATCATATTTATCACTATTAGTCTATACACCATATCTTATTTTATTCATCACATTGAAATATACTTTTAAAAAAGGTAATATCAAAATACATTCTTTTTAAATCTTTTAATTTTTTTTAAAGATGTTGGAAGTATTAATGGAAGAAAAACTTGTTTCATATAAGAGTAAAAGATAATGCATTTATCTGAATATGAACAAATATGTTTTATTACCTTTATGTCACACAAGGATAATGACTTATTAAACAAATTACTCTACGAATATGATCATTAGCAACAAGTGTAAGATAATGACTGATTATTTCAATGACTATTTAAATTATTTTTAATGTCTTATTTTACTTGAATTATGCAATAGGCCATTTTTCTTAAAGTCAAGGCATTTTAGAACTTTTCATGACCAAACGTTAGATTAGATAGTACTAGTCTTATTTAGAGAAAAGTGATGTTTAAGGTTCTGATCTGATCGGAATAAGTTCTGATTTGGTCTGATCTGGTCTGAATGTAGTTATATCTAAAGTTATTTTTGATTTGATCTAGTTTTATCTGATTTGATCTAATTCAAAAAAGAATAAGTAATAAGCAAAAAAATAAGTTGGAAAGAACATGACCTAAGTTCCATTTGAGTAAATTACTCTTAATGGAAACGAATCAAAAAATAAAAGAAAAGTTGGTTATACCCCTAGATACGAAATGGTGTTTTTGAATGTCTATCCCCTCTTCCATGTTCCAACTTCATGTCTCACCACTCATATTTTGCTACACAAGTAATTGTCATCCTAATTTAACATAAGTCTACCCTACCTATATACATATGTCTCCTATCCCACCACCTCTCAGAGCACTGGTAATACGTTTGAAGCCCCGAGGCTTCAAACCGGGGCTTCAAACTTTCTCTCTCTGCCACGTCAGCTTTAACTTACACCCAAAATTCACTGGAAATGGGTTTGAAGCCCCGGGGCTTCAAAACTGGGCTTCAAACCTTCATTTTTTACATTTTTAAATATACATCTTCTAAAATTAAATTAATAAAATGTATTTAATTTTTTATTTAATTAAATTGAAACACGAATAATAAAAAACACATTAATTAAATAAAAAAAAGCGACAATAATTTAAAAAAAAGATACATTAATAAAAAAACTAAGGAAAATTATATTTCTCCTTGATCTCTCTCATTCTTTGCTCGTAGATAATTCGTCCAAACTCCGACAACGTCGCGGGGTCGGTTTGCATGACTTTCATCTCGGCCTCCTGCTCCTTTAGCTTCAACTCCTTCTCTTTAAGTTTCATCCTCTCTTGTTCTTGGAGATTGAACGCGCGAAGTTGTTCAACCATTGCCCGGCCGATTTCGTCGCAGGGAGAAGCAGAAATAGAGGCGGACCCTCCCGAACCAGAGGCAATTGATTTTGCCTTCTTTCTTCCGATCGGCCGTGGAATGGGGTCCTCGTCATCGGAAACCGCAACGTTGAAGGAAGGGATTTGATCNCTCGTATACTCCCATAAATTTTCGTACTTTTTTGTTGATGTGGCTCCATTTGGAAGTGAGTTGGTCACGGGTTCGGTACGAGCCGTCCTTCTACATCGCCGTGAAGAACTTCTCCTCGATACGATCCCACATCGCATCCTTCGTTTGCTCTGTACCTTTAAAAAAGTATATAATTATTTTTTTTGACCACCATTAAATATAATATATATAAATAAAAATATAAATATATTAGAAAAAACAAATTTTTTACCAATGATAGGATGCTCGGAGACGTCAACCCAAGCCGACGCCAATATGCACTCCTCCTCCGGCGTCCACTTTTGGATTGCCCGTGCCGCATCGGTCAACGTGCCTTTGGTTTGTGGCTCCTCCGGCGTGTACTTTTTTTCGATCCGGACGGTTCCGGTTGAGTCTCCGGAACCGAATCTCGGTCGACGTACCCCGATTGTTGCGTCTCGTATATCAGCGGTCGATCGCCCCACTCTTGGTAGAACCACATCGCGGCGTCACTCGGGGGGAGATTGTCGGGATCGAAGCCGGAGCCGGAAGGATTCATGTTGAAAATTGGGAGGAGAGATTTGAATTTTAAAAATAAGAAAGAAGAAGAGATTGGAGAGAAGGTGTGAGAGATTGGTTGGGGAGGGTTGAATTTATAGGGAAAAAAAATTTTTTATTTTTATTTTTGGGGTGCAACGGCTATTTTAGCCGTTAGGAGGGAGTATTACCGTTTCACGCCGCGTCAAAGGAATGACGCAGCCGCCCTCACGCCCGTTTCACGCCGGTGGGCGTGATAGGTATACCGTGTGCTCTCAAAGGTGGGTTTAGATGTGGGTGAGTTTTGTGGACAGGAAGTTAGGACAGAGACGGGAGACAGAAGATCCAAACACAGTTTAGGACATATGGGCTCCTTAGCCTCTTAGCAAAGAGAGTAATACAACCCCTTACAATTTTGTACAAAAAGATTGGTGAAGTAGTCTAGTGTCTTACCAATTATACACTTTAAAAGTAATTTTAAATTTAAATTACTCCTAACAACTTATATGATAAAATTTAGGATTAGGGTATGGATAACTGGATTGGGCAATAAGACACTCGGGTTGAACCACATTAAAAGATTAAATCCAATCGATTAGTTAGTTCAACTCAAGGGCTTATATACCGGTTTATTTCCTCTTCAAGTTTCGATGTGGGATACTTTTTAACACTAGTTGTGGCCCAAGAACATTTATTTATATTCTAACACGCCCCTCACGTGCAGACGTAGTCTTTTTCGAGCCTTGCACGTGAAACCTTAATTTTTTTAAACTGGGTGACGCTGAGTTTCGAACCCGTGACCTCTTAGTCAACGAGACTCTGATAGCATGTCAAGGAACCAACTCAACCAAAAGCTCAAGCTTGTGGTTGTGGCCCAAGAATGATTGTTATATACTCTAACACGCCCCCTCACGTGCAGGCATAACCTTTTTTGAGCCTTACACGTGAAATCTTAATTTTTTTTTAAAACTGGGTGGCAGTGAGTTTCGAACTCGTGACCTCCTGGTCATCAAGGCTTTGATACCATGTCAAGGAACCAACTCAACCACAAGCTCAAGCTTGTAGTTGTGGCCCAAGAACATTTATTTATATTCTAACATTATATATATATATATATATATATATATATATATATATATATATATATATATATATATATATATAAAGCGTACTACGTGTGTTTAAATCTATTTAAATCACACCAATTTTTTAACATCACTGATTTTTACTCTCTCGAAAATAATAGATTTTTTTCAATTACCGTCAAGTTCATGAATTTCTTCAAGTTTTGAAGATGATAATGGATTTGTGATAATAATTGTGACCTTGCTTAACTTCAAGTTCTTCAAGTTTTTTGTTATGGACTGACATTTTCTTCTATGTAGTATTATTGTTTTTAATTTTTTTGGATTGGTATCCTATCGTGTTGTTACCGTGTTAACTAAATATTTATAAGTGTAATTTAAAATCACTATAGTTATTAAAGAAATTTAATTTTTAAAAAGTTTTGGAAATTAATTTGTATTATGAATTTAAAAATGATTGTTTATTTAAAATAGTTGTAGCAAATTGGCGAAGTAACATATGTACGCTTCCACTTGCTTTGTAAGAAAGTACTCCCTCCATCTCAAAAAGATTTACACCTTTCAAAAAAATTGTGTCCCATAATTTCCTACCCATTTCTATTAAAAAATCATATTTACCCCTTACTTTTTCAAACCCTACCTATCACATCATACTTTTTTTACTTATAATCTACACATCACATCTTATTTTTACACATCAAATCAAGATTATTTTTGGAAAGTCAACACAAAATTATGCATCCTTTAATTTCCACTTTAGTCAAAATGTGTAAAACTTTATGGGACGGAGGAAGTATATCTTTATCCTCTCTTAACAAAAATCTTTTTATATCCTCTTCTAGAAAAGAGATTGATACTTTGCTCCTTTTTCTCAAAGAAGAGATTGGTACTTTGCTTTTAAGATAACCTTAAAAAGTGTAAGGTGTTTATTATTCAATTAAAAAAAAGAATCAATGTGACACAAATCATTATTAAACAACAGGAGGCATCTCATCCGATACCCATTCCGGAGATTCTGCTCTCACATCTCACCATAGAGAAGCTGAAGCTCAAGTCTTTCGCCTTCGGCCAGGAAGACCGCGCCATCAACTGGCCGTTCCTCCGGAGCCTCTCCCTCGGCTCCGTCAACCTGAGCGACAAAGCCATGGCGAGCCTCCTCCAGGGCTGCCCCGCCCTGGAAACCCTGGAGCTCGTCCACTACGGCTACTTCCGGGAGCTGAGGATCGGGTCGGCCCGGCTCAAGAGGCTGATACTGGAGAGCTGTTTCCCTCTGGGCTTGGGGTGCGGCTACGGGCCCTGGCTCGACATCCACGCGCCGCACCTCCGGCATCTCGAGATCTACGGCGCCGCCGACTGCCGGCTTCTGGGCGCCTCCTCCTTGGCCGACGTGACGCTTGATTGTGAGATGAAGCTCTACCGCGTCCATGACTTTCTTGCCGGCGCGTGTCACGCCAAGCGCCTCTCCTTAAGCCCCTGGTTTCTCGAGGTAATTTATACATACTCCCCCCATTACTCCCTATCCTGCGAGTATGACCATGTTTACTATCTCACACTCACTCTTTTCCAAATTCATTTAGATTGCTTGAAATATGTATAAAATTTCATTTTTTAAAAAAATAATTTTATTTATAAATTCATAAAGTATAAAAGATACAAATTACATAATTAAAAAGAACTTAAAATTTTTTTTACAAAATATGATGCGACAATACTTTTTTGTTTTATTAATTGACTAACGAAAATACATGAGTAAACAAAAATTATTGAGAGACTAAATTAGTAAAAGTGTAACTCATTTTGGGACGGAAGAAGTATTATCATTATTACTCTCTATCTAGATAAATCATCTCAGTTTAACTTTAGGAAAATTAAGAAGAATATTGAAAATTAAAGTAAAAAATGAGGGATGGAATTAATTTCAGGAAAAGAGAAACACTGTGATTTGTGGAGTGCATATTCTTAACTTTGTTTAAAAAATGAAGTAAGATTTATTTTAGAACAGTTTAAAAAAGGTGAGACAATTAATTTAGAAAGGTGGAGTATTCTAAACAGAAAATTTGATTTTTTGATTAGAGTGATAATGGTAAGTTACACGGTGACATAGAACATTTTGACTAATAAAAAACATTATAGTGAGTATGCGCCACCTGAAATGACAAGGCGTGCAGTGGCATTGCCATTTTTGTCACTCTTTACCCTTTTGACGTATTTTAATTATTAAAAATCATGTTATTCATCTTTTCTTCGTAAAAATGGATATACTGTGTTTTTTTAAATCATTTTTTAAGTACCTATACAAAGAAATAAGTAAATAAAAAGCAGAAGGATGCATAACGCACGACACCCTTGGCGTGGAGGACGAAAAGCCACGTCAAGCAAATATTGATTGCAGCTGATGTGGCATGGCGTGGCACGCATTTACCTTGGCGTCTCTACCTTTGCTCTTAAAATCATCTATAACCAAGATATACTAATGTCAAATCATATATCCTATTAAATCAAGTATTTAATGGAATAATTATTTTCACTCTAAAGATAAATGGAGTAATCAATGGAACTCAAAAAGTTTATTGCACCAATAAGTTTTTGTATTCTCAGTTTTCTCACTCACAAAGTATGCTGTTTACTAGCCTTATACTTTCTCGGTTCCAAAATGTTTGCTATATTTCATTTTTCAACAACTTGATAACTTTTGCTTATTTGTACGTTTTTATTGATTATTTAATTGAATAAATATTTTTGACACCTCTTATTTTGAAGAATTTTTTATGTAGTTTTTAAATATGTAAATTTTATTTTTTATTTCTATACCAATATCAATATTTAAATAAAATGAGTTGAAAAAACTTGATATTTTGCTTCGTTTTTTGAAATGTGGTAAACATTTAAGAAAGTAGATAGTGATTTTTTATAATTATAAATTAACCTTTTTATAGTCTCAATGTGGAAAAGTTAACATTAATAAATGTGGAAAATTCTCATGATCGTCTTTTAAAAAAAGTATTTACAAATTGGTTAAAAAATAAAAATATAATTTATATATTTTAAAACTACATAAAAAGTTCTACAAAAAATATCTCATAAGAATATTTTATTTTATGAAATAATAATTAAAATACACAAATAAACAAAAATTATTGAGATGCCATAATAATAAATGAGACTATTATTTTTGGCGATAATACTAATTAATTTTTTTAGTATTCTTAACTCTATTACAAGGTAATTTCTATTATACATATTTTCTCAAACTACCTAGAGCTTGTTCTCTTCAATTTATTCTTAGTACTTATTAATTACTTTATTATAATTAGATCGGACCAAACTGAATCTGATCATACTAGATCAGAAACAATTTTAAATATAATTAAAATCAGATTAAATTAGATCACATCAAATGAGATCTTAATAAATTTAGATCAGATCCAATCAAAGTAAAAAACCATTTAAAATAAATATTATGATTACTATTACTATTACTATTACTATTACTATTACTATTATTACCATTATTATTAATATTACTATTATTACTATTATTAAGTATAATAATAAGTATAATAATATAAATATTATTACCATTAATAAGTATAATAATATAAATATTAGCAATAGTGATAATAATAGCAATAGTAATAGTAATAATCATAATAATAATAGCAACAATAATAGTAATAATAATAATAGTAATGATACTAATAAAAATAGTTATAATAATTATATTCATCATCATAATAATAATAGTAATAATAGTAGTAGTAGTAATAATAGTAATAATAATTTTGTTAGATCTGATCTGGTCTGATTTGATTTAAAAAAAAAAGCAATAAGCAACCTCGGTTAGATCATTAATACTACCTCCGTCCCATTGTCTTTGTCTACTTTTGACTTTTGGAACTGTTCATCTAAGCACTTTGACTCATCAAATTCTCTCAATATGTAAGCCTAAAAATAGTCATGTGTGATCTTGTTTGATTCGTCTTAACATATATATTATTAATATATAATTTTTATAATTTTTTTAATATACAAATTACAAGATAAAATGGATTAAAGAAGTGCATTGGATGGTGTGCCAAAAGGTAAGTGGACAAAGACAGTAGGACGGAGGGAGTAAAACGGACCAGAACATGAGCCACAATGTTTGGCACTGCCCCGAATATGTGAAAATGATTTAGTTAAAAGAAATACCTGGAGTAATTACTCTCTTTATTTTATGCTCCGTATTAACTTTGCATTAACACTTTGGCAAATTCTTACATAAGATTCATGTCATTTTATGGACGTTAGTGTATTAATATTATAAATTTTAACATTTTCTAGATATATTAAAAAATAAATGAATGTAGACATATCTCATGTCTACATTTATTCACTTTTTTATTGTATGTAAAAAAATCATAATGGACAATTAATATGAAATGGAAAAGTAATTAGTATATCTTGTGGGATTAATTATTTTATATTACTCCTTTATTAGGCTCTTTCGGTTTTGGAATTCAATGAATTATCAGCGGTAAAGTTCAATTGCAAGGAACTGGCGCTACATGGTCACATCATGAGCTACAACATAACCGGAATTGCAACATTCTTACTTGCCTTGCCTCATTTGGCTACCTTTGAGGTCTACTTAGGCTCCATGACGGTTTGTCCCTCTTTTTTTCTCTTTCGTCCGTCCAATAATTACTAGTAAATCTCAAATCTTAATAATTTTCGTGTCTCAAAATTAAATTCTCATTTCCTTGTAAATTACAGTTTTTCAGGGCACCCTTGATATTCAAAGCCGTAGATTGTTACGATTCCAATTCCGATCTAACCATTGTCCCTCACAATAATATGGAAGAGGTAAGCACGTGTCCTTTACATATTCTTGGCGGATAACTTTTGTTTGTGTGCGTTTTTCCATTGGTAATTTGATAAAATAAAATATTCTTGTCACTAGTTTTGTAGAACTTTGGATGTATTTTTATATATGTAAGTTGTTTCTTTTTAACTTTATACCAATAAATTCATCTTAAAGAAGACGTTCGAAACATGAAAAGTTTTTTGAGACAGAGGGAGTGTATGTGGATATGAACAATTTTTTGAGTTAGAGATGATTACTTTAGCCTTTTGGGTGAATTGATCGGTTCCTTGACATGGCAGTTACTGAGGGAGCCATGTACTGAAAAAGACAAAGAGGGTTGCAAGGATTCGAGCTTCGATGATTTGAACAAAGCCCAGTTGAATAATTTGAAGGAGTTCAAGCTATTCCATAGCTATTGGTGCTGTTCGGACGACCGTTTGGATGAGCTGTCTCAGCTTGGAGAGCTTGTTTTGAGAAGGGCCGCAAATTTGGAGAGACTGTGTTTGGTTGCGAAGAAAGAGTGGCAATGCGAGCAGTGTTCCCGGAATTGTGGATCCGAGTTGTTCTCCAAACTCGCCCTGCACTTGAACCAGTGTCCCAAACTCTCTCCCGATGCACTCATTCACATCTCTGAATCCAATGCCCACCTTTCTTAGATATGTTGCAAGTGGGTTCTTCGAATAAGTGATCTTTCCTTATCCCTGAAGCGTTCGTGTTTGGGTAATTGGAGATGTCCCGTCACCAAAACCTCTTCCAGAATTTGAAAAAGTTTGATGTTTTCCTGTTCAGGGCCTTGTCTACGTGTAAAGTTGCACAGAAACAAGGGCGGCAAGTACTCATAAGAGACAGGGTCGAAAACGACGGAATACGATTATTTTTTTCAAAGTTTTACAGAGAATTTAGGCGTCGTCGGAACATCCTGGATACCCAAACGGGGACAAAAAATATCATTTATTTGAAGAATTCGTGCAAGTTAAACGGCTCAACTAGCTTGGTTTCTCATGGGGTTAAGTTGCTTATTGGTTTTTTTCAAAGAGTGCTCATTTGTGGAGTGATCATATAGAGTTGTAACGAAAGTATTGAAAAGTTAAATGGGTAAGTGTTAGTAATGATGATTGACCCCGCACGCGAGCAATCCGTTTATACTTAACCACTCATTCCATTCTTTTTTAAACGATCTATTATGATTTCATGATATATATAAAAAAAACAAACATGAATGTGATGTTTCTATATTGGTTTTACTCATTTTACCAGAGTCACTTCTTTATGCTTAATTTGGATGATAAAAGAAAATAAAAAGAACAAAAAATTAAGAAAGAAAATGCATTGTTAGGATTAACAGAAAAAAAATGGAAAGAAAATGTAAGATTTTCTCTCTCTTGTTTGATTATGAAGAATAAGTGAGGTGAGTAGGTGACACAAAAGCTAATAAAATAAAATCATTTTTATGCCCTTAAAACAAAATGGTACTCCATATAAAGTACTCCTGTGTAGTTAATGTTTACTCCTTCCGTCCTATAATGATTTTCCCGGTTCATTTTACGAAGTTTGACCGACTTTATTTTCAATTCAATTTAATTGATTGTAGGTGTAAAATTAAAAAATAAAATTTATATATTTAAAAACTACATCAAAAGTTCTACAAAACAAGTGGTGACAAGGCTATATTATTTTATCAAATACCTAATGAAAATAGGTAAAGAAAGTGATTAAGTTTGACCGGGTAAAAAGTGTATGGGAAGAACATTACAGGACGGAGGGAGTATTTTAAAAAAGAGAACTAAAGTCATGACAAATTTATTTTTCCTAAAATGGAGAGTAAAAAACAACACGACATATTTATTTCTTTAAAAATTCTTCCAATATCATTAAAAAAGAGATGAAACAAATGTTGGAACGTGATTTTTTGATTAACAAAGATCTGATATCATGTCAAATACGGAGTAATAATTCAATCAAAAACTCAAATCTTTCGTTAAGCTAAAGAAAAGTTTTTATACTCTGGTAATAACAACAATTTCGAGCAAGAGTACTTGAAAAAAACAATTGAAGGGTCTTAGATTAAGGGATAATATGATCTCATCAGAATTAACTCTTTACATTGATAAATTCATTCACCCAACTGTTTTGAATGAACGGTGAAGGTGCCTCAGCTTATCTTCATCGCGATTCCACTCCGGCAATGGCGCGTTCACGAAGTGCGCATACAGCTTGTTCTTAGCACATGTCACGGAGATCAAGCTGTGAGCTCCGGCGCCGTCGATCTCGTACTCGTAGTAAACCTGCCCCTTCTCGTCCTTCCTCTCCGCCGATCGGACGCCGTCCGCGCCGCCGATCAGATCCTGCAACTCCACATCCGACAGCGCCAAGTTGTTCAGCACCATATCCGGCGGCGCCAATTGCCGGAATCCGGCCAGAAAAGTTAGGTATTCTCTCTCGCTCTTCTTCTTAGGGTTGTAGAACTCCGAATCTGTCCCGTTGGTTCCCTTCTCCACTTTGGACACCAGGCGCTCCTTCCACCCCTCAGGCACGTCGTAGATGTACTCCGCCGACGCCTTCCTGTCCGAATTTCCACCGTAGCCGCCGTAATTGGCGGCGCTGGAGGCCGTGCCGTAGTAGACGGAGTAGGTTGGGGTTTCTGATAGGGAAGGATGCGCCGTGGTCAGAATCACGGTGGCTAACGCTGTTGCCGCGGCGGCTGTTGATATGTTTGCCAAGGACGGTTTGGGCGGCGGTAGGGACACTTGAGACTTGGCTTGCTGCGGCGGTTTCGCGGTGGCGGAGAACAAGGCGGAGGGAGAGAAAATGGTCGCCATGGGATTAATAGTGGATTTGATCAATTCTGCGGTCCTGCCGAACCCCATTTCTAATTTGGTAGTCCTTATTTATAACTCCGTCTCCGAAAAATCAAAGTCTTGCCTATCCTAAAATCACAAGAAATTTGTAATAGTTTATTCATTTTTTTACTCCCTCCGTCCCAAATAACTTGTTACGTTTAGAAAAAACTGCGTCCCGTAAAGTTCGTTACATTTCTATTAAAAAACCACTTTTACTCATTACTTTTTCATACCCTACATATCACATCATACCATTTTCCTAAAATTCTACCAATCACATCATACTTTTATCCATCACATCAAGGGTATTTTTGGAAAGTCAATACCAAAATATCCCTCCCTTAATTTCCCAAAAAGTCAAACCGTCCCATTCTTTTTGGGACGGAGGGAGTATTATTTAATAAAATAAAATATTAGTGTCAGACATATTTAATTTAACCCAACTTTTAATCAAAGAAATGAGTAAATATGCTTAATATAAAGTGTTTAGTTTGTTAGAAAAATTGTTTAACAAATCATACATGGTGTTTTAAACACATCTATGTATCCATGCATATCATTAAATACTAATTAAATAATACGAACGGAAGAATATAGTAAAATTACGTTAAATAAGACTAAAACATAAGTTATTTTTTAATGTAGGACTTAAACTTTTTTACAGAGTACTTAATAATGTATGGTTGAAGGAATAATATTCACTGATAGTAGACATTTACTTGAATAATGACTAATAGATAATCACCAATAATTCTATATTAAGATATAAAAACATATGGTCATATATAGAGAAAGTTATTACGGAGTATATTTTATTCTTATTTAGGTAAATTTTTTCCCAAGAATGTATACCGTACCGTATATCTGGTTGTTTATTGAGTTCCATACACCCGACGAATATTCATTTTGAATCAATAAAATATTAATTTTGAATTAATAGAATATTCATTTTCAACCATTAGTATTCATTCTAAAGTTTGCTCAACATAGAGCTCATTCTAGAACATCGCAGTAATAATTCTAAAACAACGTAGTGTTATTCTGAAAATATTTTTTAATTACAAGTTTGTCATTATGTACCAAGAGAAAACTACATCCAACTATACCATATAATTTGTCCACCAATGGAGGTGCTCTAAGCGAGAGAATTCTTTTATGAACTGCACACCCTCCATCCAAATCGGTTCTTCTCATATACTCTGGAGTATTATTTATAAAGTCAAACTTTACTCGCTTTGATTGATTAGTTTCACTACTAATTTTATAAAGTAATATAGTAATGTCAAATATTGTTTTGTAGAACCTTTTATATAAACTTTTACTACTCCTTTCATCCCTAAAAGATTGTTACAGTTTGACTTTTTTGTCAAACTGTGACACTTATTGATCACGAATTATAAAAAAGTACTATATCTGGTTATAATGTAAATTTAGTAGAATTGAATTTATTTTAAAATATATATTTGAAATATCAAATTTTTTATAATATTTAAGTATTTTAAACTATTTAATTCGTGATAAAAAACACCACGATTTAATTAAAATAATCAAACTATAACAATCTTTTGGAGACGAAGAGAGTACATAAATCTTACGGAATATTTTTTAATTTTATACAAGTAACTAAATAAATTAAATTAAAATAAAATTTGTCAAACTTTGTACCAGGTTAGGGAAATGCTTGTTTCACAAACTCAAACTTCACAAACTTACCATTTGTGAACTTTAATAAAAAAATTAAATAATCTAAAATAATTTTAAAATGAAAATTTAAAACATAAATAGTAAGTTTGTGAAGTTTGTGATCCTTCTGTTTGTGAACGTAGCATTGCCCACCAGGTTAATGCTCCCCAAAAGAGTTTTGAGTCTAAAATGTGCCCCATAAGTTCGAGATATTTCCAAAAAGTGGCAAGCATTTATTTAACTCTCAATCCATCGATACCGCTCTCGACCTCTCAGCAGTGGAACCGCCAGAAGCCTCTCACCATTGAGCCAGCGAGAGGCTGTCATCGGTGCGTTGGCTATATCACTGCTCGAAATCAAACAAGAAAAACCCAAAAAAAAAAAAAAAAAAAAAACCGAAACGATCGTAATTCTTTCCCACCGGAATTCGTTCTTCGGCTCCGATTCTTCGCCGCAGATCGAAGCCATGTCGAAAAGGTAGAAATTTCAATTTCTGTTTTGAATTTGTCTCTTTTCTCTCCTTCCCTGATTACATTGTTTAATCGGACTTTGAATGTTGAGGATTACTTTCTGGAATTGCAATGCGAGTTGCGTGGTTGTTGAAGTTTTAATTTCACATCGTGCCTTTATGGTGGCGGCGAAATGTTTAGGTTTTAGGCCGCGGATGTTTTTTTTGCTTTGCAAAGTTTATGCTTTAATTAGCTGCAAACTGGATTGAATTTATATTCTTGATGAGTTCTGAGCTGTCAAAATGAAACTTCAACCCTTCCAAATGGGGCTTGTAAAGGTTTATCCCCTTAAAACTATCAACCCCCACCATCACTTTTAATCCAAACCAATGAAACCATGTTGGTTCGGTGTTAGAAATTGCTTTAAAACCTTAAAACACATTCCAAAAGAAAAACATTGCGATGAAGCTTTGCCGTATTCTTCGGATACATGCCCTGCATTGTTCCATTTCAATGTGCATGTTTAAGTGTTGTTATAGCTAGCTACCATGGGCAAGCAAGATGTGCAATTTTGTGCCCCTTATGGAGTTCAACAACAACAAACCGGGTAGAATCCCACATAAAGTAGGGTATGGGGAGGGTGTCCCTACACTCACCTTGCCATATTTGAAAGAAGAAAGATTGTTTCCAAGAGATCCCCAACTCAAGCATAATCAAAGTAACAGACACAAAAGCACCAACAAAGTGCCCCTTATGGAGTATCAAGTGCATATAGTTTTGGTCTTCATTAACCCAACCTAAGGGTATTGGATGATGTTAATTTCACCTTTCTAAAGTATGTCATTGAGTCGATCATTTCGCCTCACTATTTTCATTATACTAGGACTGAAGTTAGCCTAGTTAGAATTCAATTCAATTTTGCACCCTATATTTTTGACACAACAACAAAGCCTTATCCCACTAGGTGGGGCCGGCTACATAGATCAAACGACGCCATTGCGTCCTATCGTGTATCATATCTACTATGAGATTGTTCACGCAAAGGTCTCCCTTGACCAATGTTTGCCAATTCCTCTTAGGTTTACCTTTTCCTCCAGCCACATGCATTGTCACTATTTGATCAACCCTTCTCACGGGATGCTCAATTGGTCTTCTCTCTACATGTCCAAACCACCTAAGAGGAGTTTTCACTATTTTTCTTACAATAGGTGCCACTCCAACTTTAGCTCTCATATCTTCATTCTTTGTTCTATCCATACGCGTGTGACTGCTCATCCAACAAAACATCTTCATTTCCGCCACACTAATCTTGTGTTCACCCTTTGCTGCCCAACACTATGCCCCATACAATATAACTGGTCTAATAGCCGTACAGTAAAAGTTTCCCTTTATTTTTAAAGGTACTTTTTTGTCACTTATAAAGCCCGAAGCACTCCGCCATTTTGACCAACCTGCTTGAATCATGTGATTAACATCATCTTATATTTCTCCATTGTCTTGAATGGTACACCCAAGATATTTAAATCTCTTTACTTTCACCTCGATGTTACTGTCACTCCTTGTGTTGCCAAACTTGCACTCCATATACTCTATTTTAAGGCAACTTATACGCAAGCCATGCAACTCTAAAGTCTGTCTCCACGAGTCCAACTTCTCATTCAAATTCTCTCGTGGCTCATAAGGATGATGTCATCGGCAAAAAGCATGCACCATGGTATGCATTCTTGGATATGCTCGGTAAGAACGTCCAATACTAGTGTAAAAATATATGGGCTCCTACCCCGATGGAGAATTCCCCTGTTATCCTAGTTTGACTTCTCACGCTCGTTGTAGCCCCCTCGTACATGTCCTTAATCTCATGAATATAAGCAATCCTTACTCCTTTTTTCTCTAGCACCTACCACAAAACCTCTCTTGGTACCCTGTCATATGCCTTTTCCAAATCAATAAATGCCATGTGTAGATCTTTCTTTTCACTTCGGTACCTCTCCATCATTCTTCTCACCAAGTATATAGCCTCCATAGTCGATCTTCTTGGCATAAAACCAAATTGGTTCTCTAACACCGAAGCCTCTTGTCTCAACCTCTGTTCAACCACTCTTTCCCATAACTTCATCATATGACTCATAAGTTTGATCCCTTTGTAGTTTCCACAGCTTTGAATATCTCCCTTATTCTTGTAAATAGGAACCAAAATGCTCTTCCTCCATTCGTTAGGTATCTTCTTAGATCAAAATCTCGTTAAAAAGCTTAGTTAGCCACCAAATGCCTTTTCCTCGTAAACCTTTCCAAACTTCAATTGGAATTTTTTCTGGGCCCATTGTTGTGCACCCTATATTTCTGATATGGAAATAAAATTGAAAACACATGCACATGTATCTCCTACTTATGATTCCTTCAACCGAGAATGATTTAGGTTTGAAAATTGGGAAGCGATTGTGTGAGGGTGAACTTGTGTCACCGGTTAAGCTTGGCACAAAAGTTGGATTAGTGACACGGGTTCCTTCCTCGCACATTCGCACAAACTCTCAATACTTCCCGATTCCCTGACCTAAATCACTTTTCAATAGAAGGAAGACTGTCTCTGGATCATAAATAGGTGATATATGTGGTTGCATTTTTTATTTTAATTTCCATGTCAGAAATTCAGGATGACAAATCATTAGAAAATTGAGTTCTAAGTAGCCTAACTTGGTGCTGGTATAATGGAAATATAAATGCATAAAGGCTGGCCCGATGACATTATGACAATATCGTCCTTTACTCCAAGGCTAGATTAATGGTGCCCAATAATCCTTTAGATTTTCTTACTCAGTTGGAGGAGGTGCCATTGCGCCAAGCTACTCATATATTGGGTCTCATGTCTCTTACAAATGATTCAGTCAATGTTGTATTCTATCAGGCTCATCTATAGTTCATACTTCATATTATATAAGCAGGCTAAGAAGTGGGAGCAGATTATCCCGATTTCCTATTTTCCTACGGAGTATTTTCCTATTTTCCTTCATGTCTCTTTAGT